TGCTCAATTCTGGACCATACAGCTTTCATTCCGTTAAAAAATAATAAAATTATTATGTAATTTTATTTTCTGTCTCACCGCCTCTTGTGTTAATTTCTGAATCTGTTGATAACGTTGCGAGTGACAGGAAAATGGTAATGGGGTCCCGGGAGGCCATAAACTCGGCCCGAAAAATTACATTAGGTGAAAGGTCTATTCATATACCTCGTCTGTGGTAGGATAAAGAATGAAATAAAACATCCTCCCTTTATCAAACCCCTCCTTATCGTGTCTTCTATTCAGCTGTTAGATAACAAGATCCCAGTTGAAAGTAAATCGACGATCTCCGCGACTTTCCGTCCCTCGGTTATTTCGTTACGTAAATTTGACTGGCATTCAATTATTCAAACTGGCTTTCAAGGTTCTATTCGACAGTCGGTACACCTTCCGTAGCCCTTACCGTCCGTCGGAGTTAGCCCATTACGTTCAATACACCTTTCCACGCCACGGTTCCCCCATCCCTTAACCCACCCTTCAACCCTCCTGCTCGGCCTTCTTTTTCTCTACACTCGTTTCTACCTTTTAACATAGTTTCTCGAAGAACAGGATTTGCCCGGCTACGAAGGGAGCTTTGCCTCCCGATCACTTTGTCCGCCTTATTCCGGCTGTTTTCACTGAAACGACGGAACCATATTGCACAGCCGCCGAACCTCGCCATACCCCTAATTTTTTGCGTACTTTTTTTCCGGTATCGAGCCCCTAGAATGCATTCGAGACTCGAATGCAAGCGGATATTACGAGAATTGTATTACAGCCGGGTAAGTGAAAGGAGCCGGGGGGATAAGGAGGTATTTTCATCGATATCTCCAACGATACTCCTGGATTCCCGTGGAACGATTATTTACGACGTTTGCCTATTATATTTATTATGTTCCCAGACGTTGCGCGAACAAGTGAAAATAAATACTCGAAGCTACGAGAGAATGTTGAATTTGCTAGGGATGCTGTGCAGGATAAAAGAATCGCGTCTTTTCTAATAGCGTTCAAAATTTACGTGGTACATATTTAGGTAGGAGTCCTTTGATAGCTCTCGATCGCTCTCGATCGCTCTGAACAAGCAAATATGTATACCGGAAGGTGGCGATTCGAGTTACACGGCATCCGATGGCACAAGTGGAGAGGCCACAGAATGAAACAATTGGAGGAATTTCACGGGGAAGACAAACTCTAACGAGTCGTGATAGTACAAAAGCGTTGCCCACTTATCGAGCGTGCCCGACGCGAAACGAGAACTTGCCCCGTTGCGTTGGTTTAATAATGCAAAACCAGTTTGCGTTTGCCGGTGCTCGGTTAGTGCTTAATTACGTGGACTCGTCTGCTGATTAGATATTGTCCTTCCAACTTCACCGCCACTCTCGTCGCTATGAAATCTCGTTAATTATTTCTTGACACCCCCGCGAATCGTTCGTGCTCGGCCAGTTTCTCCTATGTCTAGCATACACCCACCAAACGTATCTTGTCTTTCGTGGTAATTGCTAATAAAACTCGATTATTGCACAGGAAACAAAAAATCTGTTATACCGTCGTGCGACGCGTGCGACGCGTGAGTAGCCGTGTCCGACCTTCCCCTTTACTTTCAGTAGGTTTTCATACGTTCTTGTCATACGGAGAGCGGAACACCACCTTGATTGTTATTAATCGTCCGCGGTGATCGCGACACTTACGAGGTTAATCGAGGAGCAGTCGTTTAAAGGTTCCTTGTCCCTCGGTACACAGAGTCACTCGCGGTGTAAAGTAAGATCGAATCAACTTAATGAACGAGACGTGCGGGCGTCGCGACGCGCCCACGGTAAATATTGGCGGAAGACGACCGGACGCGCGCCTCGTTAGCTCGCATTTTCCATGGCCCGGAGAAAAACGCGGTCGCGCTCAATCGTCGCGGAAAGCAAAAGTTCTAAATAAGTTTAGACGAGTCTGTCGGTGGACAAGGGCAAGGGGGCATGCTGTGTGCATACAGCTGAGTAAATCTACGGGCCTCGAGTTCCCCACGGAACTTTCTTCCTCAAGTTTCGACAAGGGATGCAGCGATTGCGACTTAATTCTTAACCAACGCTTTCGTAATCCTCGGTCAGTAGAGGACCAGCGTTTAACGATGCTTCCACGTTTTAATGGAGACGGAAGATCGATTTAAACAATTTCCCACTCATTGTTTGTAAATGTTAAGAAGACCTCGGTTAAATTTTAGGTCGAGATTCGATGAATTGACAAAGTTAGAAAAGTTTGAAGAAGACGTTGTTCCACGGCGATGGGACGGCGATCTTTATTGAAACTTTGAACCCATTTTTCTCGAAACTACTTTGTTCGGCGATATCTCGGAAACTAATAACGCGATCAGCGTGAAACTTTCCTAGTATGTGAACAACATATTCGTCCATTGATGAAATTAAAATTATAGCGTTAGCTGTTGTCAAATTTTGTTTACGACAGTGTAGATATAAAAAATTGTAGAGGAAAAGTTTGTAAGGTTTAACGTTTTTTATAATACGATGCATTAAGTTTTCTTTTTCAACCTCATGGTATCGTTTCAACCAATTTTTTACCAATATTCTACGTTGAAACATTTATCGTTCCAAATAATGATATTCCGGTACCGATTATTTTCTTCTTCGATTAGGTCTTGGAATTTCATCTAGAAACTCTAATTTTAATTTAATAATATCGAAACATCGAAATATATTTGTGGAATATAAAGGAGGCTTTAGAAAAACGTACGATTTAATGACAAACACAAGTCTTCTGTTCGCGTCCCGTTTTATATTTCAAATTCACGAGCTGGTTGGCGATAAATTTCGCAGACACCCACTACATACTCGGTGAGAAAATAAAGTCCAGCTTGGAACACAATTGAGCCACGTATTTACACGCAGATGGCTCGTGTGTTCGTTAATTCCGTATTAACAGCGCAATGAAACGTGCAAACGAAAACTTAAAAATTTCATGGGTGGGCCGCGAGCGTGAATGCAAAATCGAGGGGACCGATGAAAAATATTTTTCCGCCTCGAAAATTTCCAGGGAACGGGTATTTTTTTGATAAGCCACGTTGGCGTCGTAATTCGGTGTCGTGTTTCTGAAATTAACGAGCCGAAATTGGTCCGGTAATTGAGTCGGTTGTTTTTGGAATTGGCTGAAACGTCACGCGCAATGACCGCTTTATACGTCTGATCAGAGACCGACCTCTATCACTAATGAGACCAGTTGCAGTATTTTTGTTCAAATATTTTATCTTCCCTTCCTCTCGATATCGATTGTTTAATTCCTAAAACGCACGAGCGGATGTATGTACTTTCGGTCAACGAACGTGGAAGCTTAAAAAGTCGACGTTATTTGTTTGTGTAACTTTGTCTCTGTAACTTTGTTCGTAGATCTTGTAAAAATTATACTGCGCGTGCCGGCCATCATTTGTTCGTAACAAAATTTAATAAAGTATAATAAGCGCGTCCATAGGGGTTGCCCATTATTGTTAATAAATTCAAAGATTATAACAGGCTTCAATTAATAATAAGATACGAAGTTTCATTCCGTCAAAGTAAATTGCGTCGATGTTTAATGGAGAAACGAGAGAGATCGATACGAGAATTTCAACGTGCAACGTCATCGAGAAGGGTTGCATTCGTTATAAATCTTAAAATGGAACTTGAAGACTCCAGATACTCCAGATTACGAGTATCTGGATTCCTGTTTAATTAAAATTCCTACTGCATAGCTTTTTATTTCACCCATATTCGATCGAATATTTAACGAATCGATAACTCTCTTTAATTATGCGACGGCAGTGAAGTGCTATTTATTTATGCATGTTGAATAATTTTTCGTTCATCATAATGCATCGCTTATAACGAGTCGATGAGAGGAATCAAAACATTTTGTTAATTCTTTTTAAAATACGAAGGATTAATTTAAATCTATAAAAACATGTAGATTATTAATCGAGTATATTTTCTCACCCACGAATATAATAAAAAATATAATAAATTTGTAACCTAATGTTTACAAAGCAGAAGAAAAATAATTTCGTGTATATGGAATCAATCATTTTTTCGACGGCAAAATCTACGCGTGTGTAATTTATAATTAAAATGTAGTTTTATAAAATACAATAAGGCAACTGGTACTAGAAATATCTGTTTGTCTGGGTGAGGGTTAATCGACATTATTCGTTTCCCTTTTCTCTTTTTTGATCCGCAAACCGCGGATACGTGAAACCGCAGTGTCAGTAATCGCGGCTACGGGCTGGTTTCGCTGTAATTACTACTTCTTTCTTTCCCCGTAAGTCACCGCTGACACTGTCACGTTCTTCGCGACCATTCTCTCCACGTATTCTATAATTAATTTGCGTAATTGAATGTCTGTCGGTGTCCGCGATGCACTATGCCCGATTAAATATGAACCCGAAAACGACGAGGGTGGACGTAAAACACAAGATTGGATGGAACGAGGTTTGGCAGGCGAAACTCGCGAACTTTTGCGCGTGCTAGAAAATATGGCGCATCGGAAGCTATACCGACGCAGCGCAAAAATTACGCTTTCCCAAGAGATGAACGGTTACCGGCTCGTTGGCGCGCCAACTTCCCTCAAATCGAATCAAGTACGGTTCACTTAACAAATTGGATTTTTAACTGAATTTTTCATCGGAGCATCTTTCTTAGTTTCGCGCTTCGAATTACAAACAACAACAACAACAACAACAACAACAACAACAACAACAACAACAACAACAGTTTCTCGTTGACAACGACAGATTAGGATTCCGGAACAATCGTTACAGCGTATAGACGTTACGCACGCTTTATTTGTTTTGCGAACAAGAGTACGACAATGTCCTCTTTGTTCGCGAAAACGTCACGGTTTGCTACGTCAGCAGCGTGTGATGCGTTCCAGTGGGAGTTTTGATAGGACTTTGCCAAGCCTACTTAAAGCCTACTTAATTAAATTGGGTTGTGAGAGAAAGCGTGCATACTCACCATACATTCTCCGGCGATGCAAACGTCGGTGCCATCGGTGTAACATTTCGTGCCGTCTTCGACTTTGTCCGCGAGTTGGACGACGATGGTCTCGTCGCTGTCGAGCTGCAATGCCTCGGTGGCGTCGTGCGGAAGTGTCTTTTCGACGGACGTTTCCTCTCTGAAACGATCGCCAGTGTTCTCCAGGGATTGCTCGCCACGACAGATCAAAGCACAAGGTTTCGCTGGATCGTAATGCGGATACCATTTGAGTAGCTGCCCGCTGTAAGGTACGTCGTCGAATGCCGCGCATTGCTCTGCCCGGAAGTCGGTCGGTTTTTCGCAGGGCTGAAATCAAAGGCGTAGATTCCGTCTTGGAAAGATTCGATCGAACAACAGGGGGTGGTGGCTGATGTTGAATTACAATCGGGAATTTTGGTATAAGATGCTTTACACTTATCAACCCTCGAATGGTGATGGTCGAGTAATTTTTAATCATAATACAGTAAGTAGCAAAACTGAACACGCGTACGACGACATTTCAACAATAATCATTTTTTATTCTATATTATTATTATTATTATTATTATTGTATATTATAGGCGTCGTTTTAACTGTATTAAAATTCTGTATTTCGTTGGACCGTTCGTTGAAACGCACACGAGTGCTTGGCCATTATTTCCGTGTTAGTTATCCGTAAGCTGTTAAACGAAGCGTGCCGGACGGCTTGGAAATCGCTTGGATTTTCACAAGGACCAAAAGCAAAGGCGTAGATTTCGTCGGAGCAGATCATTAACCAATTAGGTCGAACCGTTATCGATATTTTAAGATGTCCGCTTTCGCCGCTAAACGTAATCGCGTTTATTAATGTTTCATTTAAGTTAATAAAACGATAAAACGCCGATGGCGTCCCGGGCGGACTTTGTTTTCCGTGTAATTTGCGGGCCGCCTGTAATTTAACCACAAATTATTTAATTGGAACGATACGTGCTTCCACTGAATTACTTGCACGGTTCGCGTGCTTCTGTTGCATTTCGAAAACATTCCATTCTGCACCGTTTCGTCATTTTATACTCGATGGTTTAATCGTATCACCGATATTTCTGCGTTAGCACTGTTTAATTGGCTTATTTCCACGATCGAAATAGTTTACCGAATTATACTTTAATGAAGACCCTTCGTTTCATTTATGTCCCAACTGTAGCTATTATCGAACGTTTTCCCGACATCTCGTCGTCACTTATCGTTTCAAATAAAAAATAATTTACAACGTTGTGTAACGAGGAGCGCACGGAAAATAGAGAAATTCGATTAAATCGATAGGTGTCACCTTTACGCTTTCAGATATTCGATCATCCATAGTTCGCCGAGGTGAGTCGGACAACAAACTGAACCGTACCAATGGCCGCTAATTATCGATGTAATTAACGGCTTCGTAATCAGATCACATATAACCTGAGGGCATATCGAGTGTACGTTTTTGCCAGCGTCCCGCCGAGTTTACCTAGTTCGCTATCAAGTGAATGTTTTACAATGTAAAGTGCCTACGGTGGAGTATAATCGACGATTTCATCCATTTCTCCAGTCATTCGAACGCGAACGGTTCCAGTAATTTTAAAACTAACCGAAGAAGCTTCGGTTAATTACGCAACTTAAAAGTAATTTTCCTTATTTAAAATTCTTCTTTTCTTTACATTATTTTCGAAATTTCTTTTCCCGGGTGGATTACATTGCTCGAAGAAGGAAATTCTGCAGTATTACGGCACCGCTTTCAAGCGATTAGTTTATTCCCTCCTGCATCGATACTTTCCTCCGGATGGAATTTAATAAATATTTCGAGTTGTAAGCTGCGCGTTAGAATGAAAGAAGACGTCGAGAAAGAGGATATAATTCGTTCGAAGATAGGATTAAAATAAATTTTACGCGAGATATGCAACGGATCGATGAAATCACGACAAAGTCATTGGTCGTGTTCACGGATCGGACGGATATCGGACGGATATCGGAGGGGATATCGGACGAATATCGGACGGATCGCGCGCGCGTCTGCAGTTTTAATTCCATTACAGAGTATCGAATTCTCTCGGGATACAATTAAATTATCCGCCGATAGATCCTGATAGGGTGAGAAGTTTCAGATTCGAGGAACAGACCTATGTTGCTATTCATGCACGGGGAAACTTCGATCCATAGACGAAGTTAAAACTTTGTCGATTGATGTAAATACTAATCCGAGACAAATTCTTGTCGCAACAACTCCTATTTCCGGTTAGTACCATTCATGATAGAGCGTACATTCGATAGAGCGTACTCGAATTAGTTGCTAAACATTTTTTTAGTTTTCAATCAAAATCACTTTTCACCATTTTTAATAGGGGTGGACGGTGGTTAATAGGGTGGTCCAGGACACCCTGTATAATAGAAGATAAAATTAACTGGAGAAATGATAGAAACGTTTATTATACAGTCGAAACTGTACTATGGGTGTAAATCGGAGCATCGGAGCCACGGCCTCGCAGCAATCCGTGAAACACGCGCGTGCTTCGATGTTGACATAGCCGGTCGATTTTCAACAACGGGGCCATCGAGGTTCCGTCTCACTTTCCGTGTTCTAACGAAGCTGATTAGCGACGGTGCCAATGATAATTAATTAACGCGATGCGCCGGCTGTAATTTAGTTGGATCAGCAGCCGTGTGTTTCTGTTGCGATTACACAACGGCTGGCTCGGTGTTTCTTTCTTCGCGGTGGCAATTTCAAAGCAAACTGCAAATTAACGTCAAGTTTAACACACGATTGTAACTTAACCACTCGCGTTCGTTTCAACGAAACGCCGTGCAACTCGTTGTTTGGTTGTGCCAGCCAGAATCGAATGTCTTAAAAAATTTACTAACTCGTCAAATTCCTCAAACTTTCTACGAAATCATCATTTTAATTTTTCATTTTTTAATTGGAAACTAATATTAGGTTTTGCAGACCCATCCGAATTCACGGAATCTCGTTCAGATTTACATACATTTGTCGGAGAAACAGCTTGATCGATCATTCCATTTTGCAATTATTAATCGCTCGATCCCCAAAGTAGTCGAATAAAACTTATTCCACTGTTACGGTGAACATTTCCTGATGAAATTGACTCTGTCAATGGGAAGCCTTTTTCCCTCTGGCTCGTCGTAGAGTACATAACCTGGACTGTGCCTCGTCGACCGACTTTTGCAATTTTTTCGCTGGTTCGTTTTTCCGCGGAAATCCCTCTCGTTTTATTCCTCTCTACATCTGTCCTTTCCAGCGTTCTTCTTCCCTCTCGTGTACCCCTCTCGCTTTCCAACCTATAACTTTTCCGCGGACAGTGCCGTCGAATTACCCGGCGATCCATCATTTCTCACGTCCGGAATGCAAAATGCTACTTACGGGACACCTGTTACCGAACACCATCCACCGATACAAAAACTCGACATCCCGCCGATACATCTATGAATTCTGTTACAGCATATTTCAAACTTTTAGGTCTCCGGAGCCCTTTTAGGTCTCCGGAGCCCCGGAAGAATATCAATGAGCTTTTCTCATGTCCGTTTACGTTGAAATTGATTGATCCATTCTAGAGAAAAGATCTTCCAAATGAAGAAATACCCTTTTCTAATAACCGAATATAATTTCCAAAGAGAATCATGGAAAATATACTTGCGTAAAAGAACGCAGAAACGAGTGGAACGTTCTTTGTCGCACGAAATTTATTCCGAACTCGATTCCCGGTCGAGATTGGAAGTCTCGAAGGGACGAGAAGAATGTTTGGAGGGGTAAGAAAGTCTCGACTCTCCAGGAAGAAGATATTTTCATGGCCGAGCGAGGGGACAGAGAATATTCGTGGATTAAACGCAGTACACGAGCGTTACTCAAGCTACGTTTTCTAGATCCAAACTCACTATACCCCGTGTTATCTTTCATCTGTTATTTCAAAGAATTTCTGCTCCGAGGGCGTTGTTATTTAGCTCGCGTCAGCGAAAGTAGTTTTCGCAGACTGAAAGAGGGTGACTGACAGTCTCCTCCTTCCGGTGGTTCGCTTTGGCTGCGTTTACGCAGACACGCTACTGCTATTTCACTGCGGTCGAGACGCGAGAGCTTTAAATTCTTAATCTCCTAGGATTACATCACAATTACGACAATGGGATTCAAGCGGCTTTTACTCCCTGCTAACGTACTATTAACATCACCGCCGGAATAATTACCAAATACCAACATGACAGCGCGAAACGAAATCTTACGAGGTCGTGGAAACGTAAAATTAAACAGGAAATAAAAGATCGCGTGAATTTATTCTCCGTTTCAGCAAGATTCTATAGGGTTATCCTAATTGAGCGTGACGTGTTAAGGTACGCGTATGGTGTATCGCGGAAGGATTCTCGTTGAGGGTTCGGAATGGATGTGCCCTATGTGGTTGGTTCTGTTGGCGAGGCTTCGGGGGAGATGACGCGGTTGTTCACGGTGAAAACAGAAAGGGGAAGAAACTATGCGAAACGCTGAAACCGGTGAGGAACCGCGAAAGCCACAGCGCAGAGTTCAGACGCTCCTTTAACAAGGAATCTCAACTACTCATTACGAGAGAACGTTTCTACATCTATCGTTTCCTGGGATCCCCGGCGGCCATTCGCCAGACGTTTCAGCCGATTGCGGTGCCGACGCCAGGAAACAATGGATTATACCTTCCTTGCGACCTCGCTCTCGCCATTCCTCTGAAAAAAGTCTTGGACCAATCGCGCTTGTTCCAGTTTAGCCAACGTTATCTATTACAGCGTTTCTCGAACTTCACCTTCTCGGACTTTATGGAAAGTCCATCGTGTTGACCGCGTGGGTAGTGTCAGTGTTAAAAAGAATAACTAGCGCGTGCCGAGAACAGATTCCTCCGTGGCTTCTTTTGAGGGTTCGTTTTAAAGTACACACAGTTTCCGAGCGGACCGCAGCGAAAGAGGACGCAGAATCGCGACGTAAATTACTCGAGGAGCGTCGGCCATCAAAGCGCGGGAAACTGCAAGAATCACGAAAAGCATCGTTCAGGCGTGTTCCACGGCGTAGGAGAGAAAAGAATACGTTTCACCTTCGACGATGTCAAAGTCGCGAAGCCGCTCATGAATAGCCAGCTCGTTGAAGCGCGGCAAAAATAAAGGTTGGACGGTCGAGGGCGCGTCTCATCCCGAGAATCGGACCGTATCTCTCGAGATGATGGAAGCTGGTGGTCCGACGGAAGGCCATTTTCTCCATCCGGCGACCAAGTGACGTCTCCACGGCGACGGAGTATAAAGGAAAACACACGGTCGTGGTCGCCGTCGCCGTCGCCGTCGCCTTATTCCCGCGA